TTTTTTTTTTTTTTTTTTTTGGTCAGGTTAGACCAGAGTAGATATTCAGTAAATACTTATTGGATAAATCACCATTGTGTGTTACATTTCCCCCCCACTTTGTACTATTCTTTTTTTTGATAGTTTTCTTTTTTCTTTTTTTTTTGAGTTGGAGTCTCACTCTAGCATCCAGACTGGAGTGCAGTGGCTGCTCTTGGCCACCGCAGCCTCTATGTCCTGGGCTCTGGCGATCCTTCCGCCTCAGCCTTCCAAGTAGCAGTAACTACAGGCACGCGCTACCATGCCCGGCTGATTTTTGATTTTTACTGTAGAGATGAGGTCTCGCCAAGTTGCCCAGGCGGGTCTCAGGCAATTCACTCACCTCAGCCTCCCAAGGCATGGGATTACAGGCTGAGCCACTGAGCCTGGAATTTTGTTGTTGTTGTTGTTTTTGTTTGTTTTTTGAGTCGGAGTCTTATTCTCACCCAGGCTGCAGTGGAGTGGCACAACCACTGCTGCCTCGACCAACTGAACTCAGGCAATCCTTCTACCTCAGCCTTCCAAGTAGCTGGGACTACAGGTGTGTGCCACCACACCTGGCTGATTTTTCCTGATATATTGTAGAGATGATGTCTTGCCAAGTTGCTCAGGCTGGTCCCTTTTACTGTTCTTAATTAGTCAGTAGTTAATCATGAAGGAACACTTCTTTTGTTTCTTTTTTTTGAGTTAGTGTCTTTCTCTGTTGTCTAGGCTGGAGTGCAGTGGCACAAGCACAGCTCACTGCAGTCTTGACCTCCTGGGCTTAAGTGATCCTTCAGTCTCAGCCTCTTGGGTAGCTGGGATCAACTATGTCCAGTTAGCTTTTTTTTTTTGTAGAGACAAAGTCTCACTATGTTGCCTAGGCTGGTCTTGAACTCCTGAGCTCAAGCAATCCTCCTAATTCTTGGCCTCCCAAAGTGCTAGGATTATAGGCGTGGGCCACTATGCTTGGCCTGGAACACTTCTTTACTTTAGCTTTCGTTAGCATGACCTTCTTCAATATTTGCATATACTGACCTAATAACACATTATCCTATATAGAGATATATGTATATGTAAAGTCATAAATATGCGTGTGTACACACACACACACACACACACACACACACACACACACATACACACATTGAGTATCCCTATTCAAAATGCTTAGGAACAGAAGTGTTTTGGATTTCATATTTTTTGGGGGTTTGTAATATTTGTATTCTGCTTAATGGTTCAGCATCCCTAATTTGATAATCTGAAATTTGGAATGCTACCATGAGCATTTCCCTCCAGTGCCATGTGGATGCTCAAAAGTGTTGGATTTTGGATTTTTGGATTAGGGATACTGAACCCAAATAGATGTGTATTTTTGAAAAATCAATTTTTTTTTTTTTGAGTTGTAGTCTCACTCCATTGCCCAGACTAGAGTGCAGTGGCACTCTCATGGCCACCCCAGCATCAACCTGCTGGACTCCAGTGATCCTTTGCCTCAGCCTTCCAAGTAGCCAGAACTATAGGCGTGCACTACCATGCTCAGCTAATTTTTGACTTATTGTAGAGATGAGGTCTCGCCAAGTTGCCCGGGTTTATCTCAAACCTGTGGGTTTAGGCAATCCACTCGCCTCGGCCTCCCAACGTGCTGGGATTACAGGCTGAGCCACTGAGCCCAGCCCGAAAAGCCTATTAATGTGGAGTATGGGATTTGTTGTTGGCTTTAAAGCAAGCTCCTGGGATTTTTTTGCAGAATTCGTGAGAAACACCATCAGACTATGTGAAAAATGTTAAAGCTATTGTCAAAAAGAATAAATTGGTTAAGAGCCAGAACTGACCAATCAATTAACCAGCTCATATATGTATATATATCTTGATCTTTCTGTCTCTCTAGTAGGCAGGATATGGTTTTCAGAGGACTATTAAGGCAGGATCAAGTTATAGGAAACAATGGTGAAAAATCCAAGATAATTGATAAATGAATGCTGGATCTCTGGACAGGTACTCTAAAGCTTCTGAGGAGTAGGAAGATGATTACTGAACCAAACTTTCAATCACTAAGGAACAATGTTGAGTGTCTAGTGTGTGCCAGGTGCTGTCCTCAGGGCTGGAGGTAAAGCTGTGAGCCAGAGTACTTACCTTGGTGAGTTTCTGGCCTGGGGTTGTATGGAGGGAAAAATAATGTGTATGGGGATCAGGAGTAAGGGGGGCAGCTAAGGAGGCAATGATGGGCACGAAGTACACGTTGAGTGGGGTAAGTCAGTGGCAGGGGAGGCTGAGCGTTTAGCAATGTGAAAAAAAGAGTTGGAAACCCAGAAATGATCTGTGAACCTTGATTGGATCTGGTTTGTAAAAAGGCTCTAAAACACATTTTGGGGGACGTATGAGGAAATATAAGTAGCGAATATGAAATAATTTGATGATAAGGAATTCTTTGTAGTTTTCTTAGAAGAAATATTGGTATCATGGCTGTGTAGGGGAATATTTTTAATTTTAGGAGATGTATGATAGAATTTAGATGTCGTGTGCTGATGTGTTCAACTTACTCTTTTTTTTTTTAAAAGCAGGATTTATTGAGAGGACAGAAAAGCTCCCACAGTGGGAGGGGACCTGAAGGGGTTGCCCCAACTTATTCTTAAATGGTCCTGCCAAAACACATACATATGCACACACACACGTGTGTGTGTGTGTGTGTGTGTGTGTGTACATAAAGGGGAAAATTTCATACCTGACCCCTTTGCTTTCAGTGTACACAAACTTTATGCACACAATTTAATGCACAACAGTATTAAAACTATTGTGTAGCCGGGCTCAGCCTGTAATCCCGCGCCTTTAGGAGGCTTAGGTGAGTGGATTGCCTGAGCCCACGGGATCAAGACCTGCCTGGGCAGCGAGACCTCATCTCTACAATAAATCTAAAAATCAGCCAGGCGTGGTAGTGCATGCCTGTAATTCCCGCTACTCAGAAGGCTGAGGCGAAAGGATCGCCAGAGCCCAGCAGGTCGAGGCTGCGGTGACTGGGAGTGGCCACTGCACTCCAGTCTGGACGACAGAGTGAGACTCCAACTCAAAACAAACAAACAAACAAACAAACAAAACTATTGTGTAATATTACTTTCAGGCTATGTATTTATAAGGCATATATGAGGTATAAATGAATTTTGTGTTTAGACTTGTGTCCCATCCTCAAGATACCTCAGTATGTATATGCAAATATTCAAAAATTTGAAAAAATCTGAAATATCTTCTGTCTTAAGCATTTTGGACAAGGGATATTCAACCTGTATGATACAGACAAGACAAATAAGGCCAAATACAAACAGCTATTGGTTTCAAGTGATGGAAGTATTGGTATTCATAGTATTTAACTTTTCTATACATGTGAACATCTTTGAAGTAAAAAATTAGAAACAATAAATCGGATTAATAGGATTAATAGATGGATGGGAATAGAACCTAACAGGAGCCCGGGGCTGAATGGATTTACTTGAAAATGGTCCCACTGAAAGGTTACTTTGGTTTAAGTTTCCTTTCAAGCCCCTGTGATCAGCGGCACTCGTCATTCAGCAAGTGCTCGTTAACTGGCCTGCTCAGCACTTAGGAGTCTCCTGCATGAGAGGTCCAGAGCTGACTCATGCCTGCTTTTACCTTTTCAGATTCTACTGTTAAAATGCACTTTAAAACCACACGAATGTCCTTGCAAACAATGAATGCAGGTGCTAACCTTCTCTTGAGGGTACTTTTACAAAGCTTTGCCTCAGTATGTCCTGGCATTGTGCATTGCTCTTGTATATTGTTTGATGAGATGGTGCTTGCTGTGTCAAGACATAGGAGGAAAGGTGCTGATTCTCCTTTGTTGTCTTTGTGTAGGTTACCAACTTGGCAAGCCTGTCCGGGCTCTGAATACCAACAGGATGAATAATGCTGCAGCTTTACACCTTTGGCAGTCGGGTAATCCGGTTTGGTTGTTAAGATTAGCCCTGTGGTCAACTGGAGTCAAGAGTATGACCGGGTTTTGAATCTAATCAAGCAGTTAATTACTTTAAAGCCTGGTTGGTTTATTTAGCAGGTAGATACATCTTGCTGAGTAACAGCAGTGGTTGTTTTCATGCTTCTACACTTTTTTTTTAAAGGAATGCTATGGTTGTTTGCACACTAAAAAGTGTTGGTTATTAGTAAGAGATTGGAATATGAGATTGGCATGAAAGTCCCTTGTTCTTGTTGCCTAGAGCCCAAGGTGGTGCTAATTGGAGTCATGAGAATAACTTCATTCTGAACTATGGGAAGTCTTGGCATCAGTGGTAATTACCCACATCTGCCAGAGGCATTCAGTTTCCTGTTCTGAATAAACCACTGATCAGGGTCTAGGAGTTCTAATACAGAAAGGCGCCTTTGTTCAACTTTGAAAGGATTAGAGTGTCAGTGATCTCAGTTTTTGAAAATTGGACTTTATTTTCACTTAATGTTTTCCCTGTTTTTCAAGAAAAACTTTGAAGTTAATCTTTACTTTTATTTAGCAAAAACAGTGAGCCACAATCTTTGTCTTTTATAGTTGGAAGGGGTTTGTGTACCTCAGCAACTTTCAGACCCATTGCATTTGGAGAAAGTGCACTATCTGGATGCCTTTTAGAGGTTGGGATTAATGAAAACTGTACTCAGCTCAGGTGAGTGTTTCATTGGTGAATTTATCTGCAATTTTTATGGTTTGCTTAAAATTAATTCACTACATGAATTTTAAAGATGACATGAATATGAAAAATTAGAGTCTGAATTAAAACTTGCAAAAGTGATGGGTAAATAATGTATACATGTGGATTTGCAGTGCAGTTTAGAGTTGGTGCAAACATTAACTTAGGGAAAATAGGTCTTATTCTTGGGACTATAATAATCTCATCTGTTTTTAAGTGAATTTCTCTGCTGAAGTTTGTTCAGATCATTGAAACATTGTATTCCTAGAGCTATGAAAAGGGCCAGAGCAAGGTATAATTGGGGTAGTTAACATTTAAGAATACTTAAGTTCTGTTATATGTGGATAAAGATCTTTCCACTTGACCATATGGGTAGTGTTTAGAAAGTATGCTAAGCATTCACTTATGCATTCTTTTTTAAAAATTGAGATGAAGTTCACATAAAGTAATTAGTCATTTTAAAGTAAACAGTTCAGTGATATTTAATATATTGATAATGTCATGCAACTGCCACCTCTTGTCTAGTCCCAGAGCATTTTCACCAAAAAAGGAAATCTGTACTCACTGAGAAGTTACTCTGTGTTTCCTCCTTATCCCAGCCTCTGGCAACAACTAATCCGAGTTGTGTCTTTTTTTTTTTTTTGAGGTGGAGTCTCATGCAGTGGCACACTCATGGCCACCCCAGCAATGACCTGCTGGGCTCAGGCAATCCTTCCTCCTCAGCCTTCCCAGTAGCTAGAATTCCAGGTGTGCGCTACCACGCCCGGTTAATTTTTTATTTATTGTAGAGATGAGGTCTTGCCAAGTGTCCAGGCTGGTCTTGAACCCGGGAGCTCAGGCAGTTCACTTGCCTTTGCCTCCCAAAGTGCTGGAATTACAGGCTGAGCCACCAAACCTGGCCTGAGTTGTGTCTTTATGGATTTACCTGTTCTGGATATTTCATACAATATGTAACTTTTTGTTACATATTACATGGGATCATACAATATGTAACTTTTTGTGTCTGGCCTCTTTTACTCAGTATTATTTATTTATTTATTTATTTGGGTTGGAGTCTCACTCTGTCACCCAGCATGGAGTGCAGTGGCACGTTCACAGCTACCGCAGCCTCGACAGCTTTGACCTGCTAGGCTCAGGCGATCCTTCTGCCTCAGCCTTTCAAGTAGCTGGAATTACAGGTGTGCACCACCACGCCCGACTAATTTGTTTTTATTTATTGCAGAGATGAAGTTTCACCAAGTTTCCCAGGCTGATCTTGAACCCTCTTGCCTTGGCCTCGCAAGTGCTGGGATGACAGGCATAAGCCACGGCACCCAGCCAATGTTTTTAAGATTCTTCTAGGCTGGGCATGGTGGCTCAAGCCTGAAATCCCAGCACTTTGGGAGGCCAAGGTGAGAGGATTGTCTGAGCTCAGCAGTTCGAGACCAACCTGGGCAACTTTGTGAGACCTCGTATCTACAGTAAAAAAAAAAAAAAAAAGCTGAGCATGATAGTGTGCATCTGTGGTTCCAGCTACTTGGGAGGCTGAGACAGAAGGATCGCCTGAGCCCAACAGGTTGAGGCCGCGGTGGCTGTAAGCATGCACCACTGTACTCCACGTTGGGTGACAGAGTGAGACTCCAACTCAAAAAAAAAATATGTTCTTCCAGATTGTGGTATGTGTCAGTACTTCATTCCTTTTCATTCCTTTGTGTTGTTGAGTAATATCCCATTGTGTATTTATACACCATATTTTGTTTATTCATTCATCTGTTGATGGACATGTGAATTATTTTTACCTTTTGACTATTGTAAATAGTGTTGCTATGAATGTTCCTGTAGAAGTTTTCTTGTTTGAACACCTGTTTTCAGTTCTCCTGAGTATATACCTAAGAGTGGAATTGCTGTGTTGTAGGTAACTCTATGTTTAGTGTTTTTTTTTTTTTTTGAGTTGGAGTTTTACTCTGTCACCCTGTCTGGAGTGCAGTGGCAAGCTCCCAGCCACCACAGCCTTGACCTGCTGGGCTCAGGTGATCCTTCTGCCTCAGCCTTCCAAGTAGCTGGAACTACAATAGTCAAAAGGTAAAAATAGCTAATTTTTTGATTTATGAGGTCTTGCCATGTTGCCCAGGCTGGTCTCGAACCCATGGGCTCAGGCAATCCTCTCGCCTCAGCCTTCCAAAGTGCTGGGATTACAGGCTTGAGCCACTGCACCCGGCCTATGTTTAGTTTTTAAAGGAAAGACCAAGCTATTTTCTACAGTGGCTGCACTGTTTTACGTTCCCACCAGCAACACAACAGGGTTCTGATTTTTCTACTTCCTTGCCAACACTTGCCATTTTCCGTTTTTTTGATACAAGCTATCCTAGTAGGTATGAAGTGGTTTCTCACTGTGGTTTTGACCACATGCATTCCCATACACATTTCATCTGAAACATACCCCAAGTAGTGAAGTTTTTTTGTTTTTTTTTTTTGAGTTGGAGTCTCACTCCGTCGCCCAGACTGGAGTGCAGTGGCATGCTCCCGGCCACTGCAGCCTCAACCTCCTGGGCTCTGGTGATCCTTCCTCTTCAGCCTTCCAAGTAGCCGGAGCTACAGGTGCAGACTACCATACCCAGCTAAGTTGTTTTTTTTTTTTTTGAGTCAGAGTCTCACTTTGTCGCCCAGACTGAAGTGCAGTGGCAAGGTCACCACAGCCTCAACCTGCTGGACTCAGGTGATCCTTCCACCTCAGCCTTCCAAGTAGCTGAAACTACAGGCACACGTCACCACACCCAGCTAATTTTTTTATTTATTGTAGAGATGAGGTCTCGCCAAGTTGCCCAGACGGGTCTCGAACCCCTGAACTCAGGCAATCCTCTCGCCTTGGCCTCCCAAAGTGCTGGGATTACAGGCTTGAGCCACCATACCCGGCCAAGAAGTGTAGTTCTTTGGTAAACAGGGAGAAGATGGGGGAGGCATAGAGAGGTTCTTGAAAATTGGTGAGTTATTGGCAGCAGCTCTTGATCACAGGTCATGAGGCCTGAGTCTTCAGTCAGAGTTCCGTGAGGCCCGAGTCCTCAGAGTTCCTCTCCTACAGTTCATGAGGTTTGTACCCTGCAGGGAAATTACTGGAAAAGAAGGACCATAAGTTCCAATATTTAATCTTTACTTAATTTTAGGACTCAAAGTTCTAGCTGGATATGTAGGATCATTTTTACTGTTGGACCACTCTGGCCCATGAATTGATCCTGGAAGCTTACATGTGATCTGATCACCTTCCAAGTTTGGTGACACTCAGCCGAGTCTGTCAATCACATGATACCAATATCAGTTAATAACATTTAAAGTCCAAAGTGAAAGACTGCTTCTGAACATCCTCCCTAGCTGCTTAGGAGCATCCTGGGAAGGCCATTGCAGAGAGGTGTGATACCCAGCCAGTTTTAATGCCAGTCTGTCTGACAAGCACAGCCTGGACATCACTGAAAAGGACTTTAGGACAAGAGCTGCTGGCTGTGAGCTGAGAAATATCTTGCTCTCTTGCAGGGAAAATGTTGTTGAAAGACTTGATTCATTAATACAAGCGACTCATGTTGCAATGAGAGGCAACTCCAATTACAGCAATCTGAGTGATGGCTGGCTCGAAATAATACGTAAGTACAGTAATTCGTAACTACAATAAAATGTGTAGCTTGGTTGCTATGACTACCAACTGTAATTGTAATCTTAGAGCCTAGCCCAGTAGGTTAGCTTTCTTTCTTGTTCAAGGGTGAACTCTTCAGATAGGAAACTCTTCACATCTTTCTCTTTTTATTCATGATGTCTTTTTGTTTTTTTTATTTGTTTGTTTGTTTTTGAGTTGGAGCCTCACTCTGTCACCCAGACTGGAGTGCAGTGGCCGCTCCCGGCCACTGCAGCCTCGACCTGCTGGGCTCCAGCAATCCTTCCGCCTCAGCCTTCCAAGAAGCTGGAACTACAGGCGCGTGCTACCACACCTGGCTAATTTTTTATTTATTGTAGAGATGAGGTCTCGCCAAGTTGCCCAGGTGGGTCTCGAACCTGCGGGCTCATGCAATATACTCACCTCAGCCTCCCAAAGGTGTGGGATTACAGGCTGAGCCACTGAGCCCGGCTGTCTTTTTGTTTTTTTTGTTTTTTGAGTTGGAGTCTCACTTGGTTGCCCAGACTGGAGTGCGGCGGCCGCTTCCGGCCACCGCAACCTCGCCTGCTGGGCTCTGGCGATCCTTCCGCCTCAGCCTTCCGAGTAGCCAGAATTACAGGCATGTGCTACCGTGCCTGGCTTGATTTTTTGATTTATTGTAGAGATGAGGTCTCGCTGCCCAGGCGGGTCTTGAACCCGCGTGCTCAGGCAATCCACTCACTTCAGCCTCCCAAAGGCACAGGATTACAGGCTGAGCCACCGAGCCCGGCTTCTTTTTGTTTTTTTAAGAGAAATTTACATGAAGCTCAAATTGCCCAGTTGTTTGTGAGCTAACAGTCTTTGTGAAGAATGTACAAATGTAGTTTGGAGTTTTTTGGTGCAGTTTAGTTTGCATTACTATTTTTGATTGCCAGGAATATGGGCATTTGAGAATTGGCTTTGTAACTTATAAAAGCAATTTTGTTAACTTAAAAGAAAGAGTGATTGTAAACACTGTCCTGAGTGAAAGAAACCAGACACTAAAGGCCACATATTGTGTGACTCTATTAATGTGAAATGTCCAGAGCAGGCAAATGGTAGAGGCAGAAAACAGATTAGTGGATGCCAGGAGTTGGGAAGAAATGGGGAGTGACTGCCACGGGTATAGGGTTTCTTCATGGGAGTGATGAAGTAAGTGTTCTTAAATGGAATCTGAGGTCGGGCATGGTGGCTCATGCTGGTAGTCCCAGCATTTTGAGAGGCAGAGGTGAAAGGATTGCCTGAGCCCAGGAGTTTGAGATCAGCTTGGGCAACTTGGCGAGGCTTCGTCTCTAGAATAAATAAAAAAATTAGCCAGGCGTGGTGGCTTGCACTTGTGGTTCCAGCTACTTGGGAGGTTGAGGAGGAAGGATAGCCTGAGCCCAGCAGGTCGAGGCTGCAGTAGCTGTGAGCATGCTACTGCGCTCTAGCCTGGGTGACAGAATGAGACTACAACTTAAAAATAAAATAAAATAAAATAAAATGGTATCTGGTGGTGGTTGCACAACTCTTTGAATATATTAAAATCCATTGAATTATATATTTAAAATAGATAGATTGTTTGGTATATAAATTTTATCTGAGACCAGATAAAAAGTCTTGACAGTCCAGTGCATTTTACCAAAAGCATTTGCTGCATTGGGTTGGTGGGCGGAGTGTACACAAGGTGGGGAGGTACAGCATATGCATATGGGGTAAAGTGGGCCGGATTTTGCTTTCCCCAGCAGGCCCAGTTTCATCTCTGAATCTAACATTTTAGTCTGGTCATTGAGATCCTGCTCATCGAGTTATCTATGCAGAGGCCTAAAGTCATAGTGGGTCTAGGCTGAATGTGGTGGGCTGGGCTTTTAGACAACCGGCACTGTCCCCACCCCTTGTGACTTAAGTTACAGTGATGAGGATACCTGCCCCCTGGGTAGTTATGGCTCATGTGCTAGGTCTGTGGGACTGAAGTACCCCAGACCACTCTCTGACTGGGGGAGGGATCCTGTTGGTCAGGGGGTCTGAACCCAGAGTAGGAGCCTCATTTGCAAACAGAACCCAGAGGTTGGGCTTGTCAACCCCTGGGCTCTGCTCTCCAGGCTGGCAAGACAGGCTGTGGCATGACCCCCGAGGGATGGAGGGAAGGAGTGATTCAAAGCATTTGAGAAGTAAATAATAGAGGAAATTTTCAGAGAACCCAGGTTGGTTAGGTACAAAATCAGAGAGGTGATGACATTGTGTTGCCTTCAAGGTGGAAGGAGTTAGCTTCTATTTCATGTCGGAGCCAAAAAGAAACCCTGATCCTGGTTAATAAACAGAAGAGAAGTGGTGTTGACAGGTGTATAAGGAAAGCAGACAGCATAAAGAAATGGTGTCACCAACCTTCAAAATCTCCAAAGAAACCCCCTCCAGAGTTGCTGGAGAATCTGCCCCTTCCTCCCATCTCGACTTTGCTGGCTTTCCCAAAGCCTAGGCATCAGTTTCAAGATAAATGAAAAATAATTTCTCATTCAGTTTTATGCTCTTCCAGTTGTATTACTGCCATGGCAACACATTGAGAATTACCTTTTTATCTATCTAACCCATAAGAACTAAAGTTGTTAGTATGGATTTTAAATGTCTTAAACAACTTTTACTAAAACCGTGACACTTGGAATCGCCCTCTTGGCATTTTATTGCAATTATATATGTTTCTGTTAAAAGGCTGGGTGAATTTCAGTAGGGTACTTAGAGGCCGAATCATGATTTATTGTTTTATTATGTGGGTCAGGGCTTTTAAAGTTCCATTAACCGATTTAATATACAAGGACACATTTAAAACATCACTTTGGTAAATGAGTGCCAGCTTATACTTTGCAGACTTCAAGGAGTGACACAGTTATGGAGTGACAAGTAACTACAGACTGTAAGAGATTTAGTTCTCATTAATGTGATTCCTGTCTAATATTATTGCCCATTTTTGAGGTATCATGACATTGTAGGAAATTAAAGTATTAATTATTAAGTTATTCTTTTACAAATGCATGACTTCACATTTCCTCAGGTGTAGATGCCCCTGATCCAGGCGCAGACCCGCCTGTTGGCCGTGTAAATGGCATCTGCCCGGGCATTCCTGCTCAGCTGAATATCCGTATCCTCATCTCGGATGCTGGCGCAGTAGAAGGCATTCCTCAGCAGGAGATTTGTGGTGTCGAGGCAAGGTACGGTCACATCTTGGATAAGTGTCGTTTAGAGAGGCAGTCAAGTTGAGGGTGCTCCAAAGAATGGGGAAATACTAATTTAGAATCTGATTGTTTATTTATAAATCATAATTATTGGCACTATGTATAAATGGAGTATGTGCAAACTATGTTTACAATGGAAACTTGTTCTCACATGTATTTATAAAGCTATGTGTAAGAGACTCTGCAAGACATTTTATGTTTTGTGTTTTTTTTGAGTTGGAGTCTCACTCTGTCGCCCAGACTGGAGTGCAGTGGCCACTCCCGGCCACCGCAGCCTCAACCTGCTGGACTCCGGTGATCCTTCCACCTCAGTCTTCCAAGTAGCCGGAATTACAGGCATGTGCTACCATGCCCGACTGATGTTTTGATTTATTGTAGAGATGAGGTCTCGCCAAGTTGCCCAGGCGGGTCTTGAACCCGCGAGCTTAGGCAATCCACTTACCTCAGCCTCCCAAGGTGTGGTATTAAATGCTGAGCCACCGAGCCCGGCTTGCAAAATATTTTAGGGAGTTTGCTAAGCATATTTTGAAATTCATGAATGTAATTGACATGCTGACCAGAGAATATTTCCCAGTGGTTAGATACTTTGGTGCAGATAGACAGGTTCAAGCCACGTCTCTCCCACTTATGAGCTTTGTGACATTGGGCTATTACTTAACCGCTCTGAACTATAGTTTCCTCACCTGTAAAAAGGTAATAATACCTTTATGTACTATGCCTCTATCAGTTTGTTTTTTTTTTTTTTTGAGTTGGAGTCTCACTCTGTTGCCCAGACTGGAGTGTAGTGGCACACTCCCAGCCATCGCAGCCTCGACCTGCTGGGCTCCAACGATATTCAGCCTCAGCCTTCCGAGTAGCTGGAACTACAGGCACGCGCTACCATGCCCGGCTAATTTTTTCATTTATTGTAGAGATGAGGTCTTGCCAAGTTGCCCAGGTGGGTCTCGAACCCGCGGGCTCAGGCAAATCCACTCACCTCAGCCTTCCAAAGCATAAGATTACAGGCAGAGCCACTGAGCCCGACTCTCTATCAGTTTTAAGTGACAGGGTCCCAGTTCATACTGATTCAAGCAATGAGGGAAATATATTAGTTCAAGTGAAGAGAAATCCACATATAGCTAGTTAATGATTTGTGGTTCCAGTCTGGTCAGTGTCTTTTTTTCTTCACTTAGTGCCTCTTCCTTGGGGTTGGCTTCATGCCCATGTAGTTTCTCCTCAAGAGATGGCAAAAATGAACACCAGCAGTTCCAGGCTTGTGTCACTTGAGCAAATTCTGTGGAGAGAGAGCACCTCTTTCCACATCTATTTTATTTTTAATTATTTATTTTTTTGAGTTGAAGTCTCACTCTGTTGCCCAGGCTGGAGGGCAGTGGCACGTTCACGGCCACCGCAGCCTCGACCTGCTGGGCTCCGGCGATCCTTCCGCCTCAGCCTTCCAAGTAGCTGAACTACAGGCATGCGCCACCACACCGGGCTAATTTTTTTTGATTTATTGTAGAGATGAGGTCTCGCCAAGTTGCCCAGGTGGGTCTCAAACCCATGGGCTCAGGTATTCCACTCACCTCAGCTTCCCAAAGTGCTGGGATTATAGGCATGAACCACTGTGCCTGCTCTTCCACATATATTTTTATTTTTAATTTAATTTAATTTTATTTTATTTTTGAGTTGGAGTCTCACTCTGTCACCCAGACTGGAGTGCAGTGGCTGCTCCCGGCCACCGCAGCCTCGACCTGCTGGGCTCCGGCGAT